TGACGGTGTAGGCCTTTGACCTTCTTCTTTATGGGGATAACTTGCGCGCTTGCGTCCTATATATCCCCAAGACACATCCATCGCGCTTGTAGTAGTGGGAGATGTTCTGATAAGTACTGATCATTTTGCAAAAAGCCATGAAGCGAAAAAGCTTTGGGAAATCACGCGTAATATGCTTATTTTTGAAGTCGACCAATTCAATATGTGTAAGCTGTTATTTTTGTAAGACCATACTGTTGTTCTAATTCAGAAATAATCGCTGCCTTTGCTTCTTTTCCCAAGACGACTTTTATATGGAAGTATGAGGAGGAAAATGATGCTATACTCTTTGAAAAGTATCCAAACATCTATACCATGAAATGGGTGCCTCAAACTGATTTGCTTGGTGAGTCGTCTTTTCATGGATAGGTGTGATTATGAGTTTGTATCTGATTCCAGCTGACCACCGGCTGTCCCTTTTTATCACGCATGCTGGCATGAATTCTGTCCTGGAAGCCGTCTTCGCTGGAAAACCTATGGTCGCGATTCCACTCTTCGTGGATCAGATCTTGAATGCAAAAAACATGCAAAGTCGTGGTCTGGGTATCATGATCGATAAACATGATCTCAATAGGGACTCCCTAATTGCCGCAATCCGAGCGACACTCCCTGTGAATAGGTTAGTCTTTTTTCTGTTGCTTGATATAGCTCTCAACTCTATTTTATCTCCAGCACCTACGCTCGTAAGGCAGCTGGCGTAGCCAAATACCTTCATGGACGTCCGGCTGCAGCTCGAGCAGAGATATCTCACTGGGTGAAGCTGGTTGCAGAAGAGGGGCTCTTGGACCATCTAGTCATGAGATCTAGGGAAATGTCCTTCATAACATACTATTGTATAGATATCATGGTCTATTTGGCTATTCAATATATTATCATTTTATTTCTTCTATTCAAAACTGTGAAATTTGTTTTTGCGCAAATCTGCAGACTTATGAAACTCAAAGCTGAATAAATGATGCTCATAGACTAGAACTCAGACGTAGTTGTGTAATGAAATTCACATGACTATATGCACATCACATCTTATAGTTTCAAATTGTCTTCACATTTTTCAGCAAAAAAAAAACAACAAAACAACGATGACATGTATTTAAGGTCAATAGACTTAAAATTGCAGCAGGCCGGACGAGAGGTAGTATGGCATCATTGAAAATGGATTCTAAGGTAGGATTAGCTACAAACTCGGAGTCACAACGTGCAAACGAATTTGATAGAAAGAAATTACAGATTTATCTCGAACATGGTTCTGAGTCTAAGCGCGTTTTTCGAGGGAGAAGAAAAGAATTTTCGAAAAGGTTTGTCCTTTTTTCAAATCTTTGGTTGCCTGGGGCTCTTGAGGGAGAGTATCGTAAATAAGAAATTTATGACAGTGGTAGGAGTCGCCATCTGTATAAATAAAACTGAATGTCTCTTTGTATGTGTGTCTGTGCGTCTGTGTGTCTGTCTGTACTGTTCCAAATACATCTGTTTCTGAACCGATCCGGACCAAACTTGGCATTTATACACCTCGGTGCTGTTGGGTGCCGCAAGCTGCTTTTCGATCGATATTGATTTTATCGATTTT